ACCTGACCACAAATGCCAGCAAAGAAGACAAAGGTAACAGAAGGAAACCTTGAGAACACTATGAAGACTGGAAATGTTGGAGCCAACAGAACACAATGAAAACTACTGGCATTCACAAATTTCTGAGCATTTTATTGATAATTCTGTGTCAAAAACAGTTTACAAAAAAATTTAAAATACATCACTGCTTGTACCAAACAGCTGTCAAAAGGTTGAACATGCAAGAATGTGCAAGACTTATATGGAAGAATTTTCAGTCACACATTATTACTCAACGCAGGTTTTCATACATAAAAAGGTATGTTTTCCACCTCAGAATCACCGCTGAGCTACAGAAACATTTTTAAACAATTGGTGCAAACAAGCCTCCTCTTTATACAAATATATAGGCATGTATATATAATTAATGCTGAAGTTCTAAAAAAGAAACACTTGTGGCTTATAAATAAAAAGAAGAAAAAGATTTATTCCAGAGCTGGCTCACTGGCATAATGCATAGCAAAATAATTGTATTTTCTCTCAACATGGTGTATGAAAGGACAAAGGGGCACCCCTTGGCTGTTGGACCAAATGGATGCCTCTCCATTCAACACAATTACTGAACAATGCATTCTTCCCCGTTTAGAATGGTATTAAGTCTTGTTCCTGTAAAGTAGTCAGGGAGAGCCCTATCCACCATTACCTTCACAGAAATATCAGCTATCAAACTGCCAACTAAAAGAAGCTCTGATGAAGCCGAATGCATGACTGCAGTATCTCCAGCATAAAGCCAAACCTGCAGTTTTACAGACATCAACAAAACTATTTTGGAGGAAAGGGTTCTGAAGGCATTTAAAATGTCCCCAGGATAATAATGGCTAATGCACAGCTTTACATCCCAGTTTTCCCAAAAAGGTCCTGGTAAAAATCAAGGAATGGCTTCCTCAGATCTTCAAAAAGTGGCCTTTGTGGTCTATAACTCTTAGAATCTCACAACCAGTACAGTAGCCATGTTGACTCTGAGAGCTATCCAAAAAAGCGAGTCTTTCAAAATCTTAACTGGTGCTATCTGTGGTGTAGCTTTAACAAGTTGCAAATTAAGAATATATTACATAAGGTGACTCTTAAGAAGCTAAGAAATGATGGAGAGCACTGACCAAATACTATGGGACTTCTTGGCTAGACAGGGCAACCAGCGTGCATGTGGAGCAAAATGCCAATTCTGTTTGCCTTTGGAGATAGTTTGGTGTGCATTCCACAACAGTGAAGGAATTGGGCCTTTTTTGTACTCATTAAAGAGAACAAGTTATACCTATTGTCTTCAATAGATTCTCCCCACTGTATACTATCTTGTATTACTCCAGAAACTACTCTGTATCCAGAGTTATGGAGCTACTAGTGAAGATTATACAAACGTGGAAAATCCAGCGAAGTATTTGGATGCCTTAGACATCAAGCTTTTGCACAGAGCTAGAGTACCAAAGGCCTTGCTTGTCAATGAGTTCTCCACACTTCTAGTTAGAAAGGGGCTTTAAGACAACAATCTGGTTTGCTCTGAAGAGCCTTGTCAGTGCTTTGCATTGCAGACACCATAACCCAGAATGCCAAATCTCAAAAGAAATAAATCCAGCCTCATACACAGAAAGGAGCATGACTCTAATAGCCATAAAGGCATCGCATTTACAATAAGCCATGGTTGGGGCCAACAAGCCGGCTCGCAAGTGGTCTTGTATTAATCTGGGAGTCTTTTGGCCAGACTTCAAGGCTGTTAAAAGGACCTGCGTAGCAGGTTGCTAGAAAATCCAAGCCAGGTCTATTCTATATGCTGTGAGCAGGCCATGTTTCAAGCCCAGGAACATCCTGTCAGCCTTGCTACTTTACTGCCTTTGGAAAGTTCCTGGTGTTCTTCAGCCAAGACTTTCTGGGGTTAGACATTTAGTTAAGATGGAAAACTGGTTAACACTCCAGGTACCAAAGGAGGAGGCTTGGATGACAAAGCCATACAGAAATAGGTTGTACAGAAATGGATATCCTTTTTCAAGCACACTTACTTTAGCATCTTACCTTAAGAACACATACAGACAACCAGATTATTTTAAGGTAAGCTTTTTGTCACCATGTTTGTTTGGTTATCTGCACTGTCTCACCAACCTGGAAAGGCAGATTGTAACACACTCCCTCCCTCGCACACGCACCAAGAGTCGATGTGTAGCAAATGACATTCTCTCTGAGCCTGCATTCAGGTAGAACTATGTTTTGAAACATGTATTCGTGAGATCTACAGTAGACAAATTCAAAAGCTATGACATGTTTATAAACCTATACATCAGGTGAAGAGAAATCTTTTTTTTATTTTGCATCCAAACAGTATCTGTGGAACAATAAGTGTTTCTATCATTTAAAAAGTCACACATTTTATAAAACCAAGACAATAAAAACATCCCATATTAAACCAGAAGTACCAAACTAGGAAGCTGTCTGTCAAAGGCTGGTCAGGTGTAGGAAATGTTCAGGAGGGCTAGAAAAGAGGTCTGTGATTATTGCTACAGAGCAATTTTTGAAGTTATGTTCATAGATTGTATTAAAAAATTACAATCTGAAATTACTATCTGAAACGCATGTGCATGAAAACGGCTTCTGAGTCACGCAGGCAGTTTATTCATAAAACATCTCTTGCTCTTTATACATGGAATCCTCTTCTGCCAAACAATATCGGTTACTAAATACACATCCCAAGAGGCCTTTCTACAGAACAACTCACTTTCATGTCCATAACTTTTCACAGCCTTCTTTTAAACAGAACACGAATAACATCAATTTAAAGTAAGTGCTAAAGATTTTCTTGTAAGGCTGTCTTTCCCCAGTTGAGCTGGACGACAAGGCCAAATACTTTTTCCTAATTTGTTTGTCTTAAACAAACCCAAGCTTCTGCCTCTAACAAAACGACAGTCCTCAAACTCGCTCAGAAAGAGAGAATGACTAATATCCAGAGTGCAGGCATGCTCCATGCTTTGTCAGTCCCAAGGGCTACTTATAAAACACTCCCTTTTATTTGCCAAGCAATTTTCCCGTATTATAGCAAGAACCAAGGGCTACTTATAAAACACTCCCTTTTCTTATTTGCCAAGCAATTTTCCTGTATTATAGCAAGAATGTACAGTGGTGCCTCGCTTAACGACGATAATCCGTTCCAGGAAAATCGCCGCTAAGTGAAAACATGGTACAGTAATGCGAAAAAAAACCCCATTGAAACCCCTTCAATGCGATCCAATGGGGTCAAAACTCACCGTCCAGTGAAGATCCTCCATAGGGCAGTCATTTTCGCTGCCTGTCTTGCGAGGAATCTGTCCCAGAAAACAGCGGGGAGCCATTTTGTTTACCTGGCGGCCATTTTGAAACCGCCAATCAGCTGTTCAAGAACCGTCGTTTTGCGAAGAATCAGTTTCCGAAGCAGGGAACCAATCATCGCAAAGCGAAATTCCCCCATTTAGACCATTGTTTTGCGATCACAATTGCGATCGCAAAAAGATTGTCGTAAAGCAGATTCGCCGTAATGCAGGGCAATCATAAAGCGAGGCACCACTGTACAGCAAACTCCTCTAAGGGAAGGAACAATATTCCTGTGTGTCAAATCTAGGAGACAAACTTGTGTCTCTGAGTGAAATTAAATAATAACGATAACAATTTGTTACAGGAACCCTCTGTGGTAAAATACCTCACTTGTAACCATAATAAGTGCTATCAGCATTTTCCCGTTTCCCCACAAAATATACCCTTTCCGGTTCAGAGCAGCAATCAGAGCCATCCAAGCAAAACTGTATTTTCAGAAAACCTAACCCAAGTCTGTGTTTAGTGCAACTATCACCACATGCAGATGGTTAATGGGTGAAGAAGCACCAAACTTCTCGTCTTGGCATCTTGCTGTCGCAAACTTGTTAAAAAGAAAAAAAGAGTGCCATGCCATCCAATGGGGAAAGGACATTCTGAAAAAAATCTATAAGCTCTCATCCTGACATGCCAGTATTCACAAGTGGAGACCTCTTTTTAAAAAAGTATTGTAGGAGGGAGCACAGAAATATTTAACTTTTACTTGCTGAATTCCAATACATTACAGTCCGTCAAGAGATATCCCCCACATGCTTCATCTAACACAAGAAACCAGTGTTGAATTTCAACTCCCATTACCCTTCACTATTGGATATGCTAGAAATGACTGATGGGAGTTGTAGTCCAACAGCAGCTAGTGGGCTACAAACTGCCAATCCTTGGTCTAATACATCCTACATCAGAAGAACACACAAAATACATTTTCCTTCACTGGCTAATCTGAATCCTTGTGTTACATTCTTCTCTAACATACCTCTCTAGGCATGACTGCCTCCCCCACTCTTGGCTCTTCCTTGTGATATTTTTACTCTATGGAACACACAAGCACTTCCCAAGCTGGACAGTGTTGGCGTTTTGTCTTGGAACACTATCAGAAGGAGCCACATGAGTCGAAGTATTTAAACATACTGGAATCAGCATGGGGGCCATTGCAGACGTAGCATGAAAAAACCCAAACTGAAACCTGTGAGGCATGTGTTATGCCTAGAACATGTGGCTTGGGGTTCAAAGCCGAGCTGAGCTGCCAACCAACCAGGCAGCCCTACTTTCTAGAGAAGGAACCCATCAGATCAAACATCACCTGTGCTCTCGTCGACTTTCATTTTTCATTATTTCAACCCAAGTTCTACTTTCATGAGGGCCGTGGTGGCGCTGTGGGCTAAACCGCAGAAGTCTGTGCTGCAGGGTCAGAAGACCAGCAGCCTGTAAGATCGAATCCACGCAACGGAGTGAGCGCCCATCCCTTGTCCCAGCTCCCGCCAACCTAGTGGTTCGAAAGCATGCAAATGCAAGTACTGTAGATAAATAGGGACCACCTCGGTGGGAAGGTAACAGCGTTCCGTGTCTAAGTCACACTGGTCATGTGACCACGGAAGATTTTCTTCAGACAAAACGCTGGCTCTATGGCTTGGAAACGGGGATGAGCACCACCCCCTAGAGTCGAACACGCACGGACAAAAATTGTCAAGGGGAACCTTTACCTTTACCTTCTACTTTCATAACTTGCCTGGCTACCTTGAGATCTTGCAATCCTCAAAAATGACTGTGTGGAGGAGAATTTCTGCCCACTGTCAGATACTGGGGGGGAGACATCCCAAGGAGAAAAACATATTGTGATGAACTTGCTGTTGTGATCCGGCAAACAACATAGCCTTTTCAAGCTCAGATTGCAATTTGGGCAAGACAGCAGTGAAGAGTTTACGTAGTTTGATGTGGCAGGTAGATATTCTCAATAGAGGATGCTAGGAGACTGAAGAGCCTATAGGCTCAACCGGCCAAGAAAATAGCTAGTCAAGATGTCTACAAACATTTCAGAACCAACATCACCAAATTAGCAGACTGTTGCCAGCAAATACTCTTTTGAACAGCTTGCTGCAAACCTATGTTAAGTATCAACGTAATATATATGCTGTTCCTAATATTGCCATTTTCTGTAGCTCTCAATGTTATTTCTGGAATCTGCAAACTGCGTATCGTTTCTCGAAATTTCTTGATATGGTTCCCAAAGCCCCGATGATGATGGCATTTGACCTTTTACCAGTCACCAGAGAAGACCAAAAATTTTGCCAGACTTTTTCTCAGTTTCCTAGAATCCATCAGTTCAAATACCCCAGCAAAGGAAGCAGACTAAATTAGAACTTAAGCAATAACAAAAGGAACACATTTACTACTACCATCAAAATTTCCCCTTTAAATCTCTGTATATAAAGTAAAAACACTTCACATTGCATATTGGGTTGGTTGGAAAGCTTTTCAGAGGTAGAAAATGGTGTGGTGTGTACATTTTATGCTGATCCTTTTTAAAAAAGGATTAACAGGCATGTCCTTTTAAGAATCGTTTCTCTAAAAAATGTCTTCGGTATAACTACCTTATGTAAACAAAACCCAGAGTGGGGAGTGGTTCAACAGTTTTAGCCTAATCATAGTGTTTAATTCTTCACGTTTTGAAACCAAAGAGACATTTCAAATAGATATAAAACAAATTCCATTTCAATTTCCTAAGCAGAGCTTGGATTTCTCCCTACAGCTTGCACTTCAATTCTTACAAAGCGTCATATTTACAAAGTCCAGCCTTTATGCATCTCAGCCCCATTAGAAGGCCACATTCTTAAACAAATTCAGTGCTGAATAATGTCTCCTTCTGCCTTCTAAAATCCTCTTGTCTTTGTGCCTCGGGAACGCCAAACAGAAATATTTACACACTATTTGCAGGTTGAGCAGGTCTGTAATAAGAGTGTCCAATCAGAATACTGAGAGGTGCAATGAAATTTTCCAGGAGTTCAAAATCTGAACAGGTTGATGAAGTCCTGGGGTGAAAGAGAGGTTGAACAGCTCTCTGGATTGTTGGCTGTACATGGATGATCAGTGCCCTAAAGAAAAGAAAGAACATCTGGATTTACAAAGCCTGCTTTATTGGGGGCGTGCTGTAAACAGGTTAATAATCTCAGATGCACAAGCAGGTACTTGCAGTGATAAAAGTTTAAGGTTTTGCCATTACTGGAAGGAAAGCCCACAGGTTCAGTCAATTGACCCAAAATATCATCAACATATCCAGAATGTATTCGCGAAGGCTTTCACAGCTGGGATCCGATGGTGGTTGTAGGTTTTTCGGGCTGTTCGGCCGTGTTCTGAAGGTTTTTATTCCTAACGTTTCGCCAGTCTCTCTGGCCAGAATCTTCAGAGGGCAGGAGCAGAAACTCTGTCTGTGTTCTGGCGTAGTGTGTGGGATAGTATCTAACTCCTGTCCTCTGAAGATGCCAGCCACGGAGACTGGCTTCATGCAACTCTGCATCACTCCACTGAAAGACTAAGGGCAGCCAGCATGGTGTGGTGGCTAGTGTGCTTAAGTAGGACTCAGGAGATCTGGGTTCAGATCCTCACCCAGCTATACTGGGCTCACTGGGTGGCCCTGGACCAGTCACACTCTCTCGGTCTAACCTGCCTCTCAAGGTTCTTATGAGGAAAAAGTATGGAGGCATGTGTGCTACCCCTTGAGCTCATTAGAGCAAAAGCAACACACCCCATTGCACAGGTTCATGTGTGAGATCTAAGTGCTGATGTATTAACTAGTGACAGTTCATCACTACAACTTATACCAGTTTGTTTAATGCCAATGTCACTGATCAACAGGATTCTCATTACAGTGGTGCCTCGCTTAAAGAGTGCACCGTATAACGACGAATCCGCATAGCGATCCCGTTTTCGGGATCGCTAATGCGGAGGCATAGCGTCGGCCCCAATGGGCAAAACTCGCATAGCGAAGATCGGTAAGCGTTTCGCTTACCGATCTTTGCTTTGCGACGCCCGCAGATCAGCTGTTCGGCGGTTTCAAAATGGCCGCCGGACGCCCAAAATGGCCGCGCGCAGCGTTTTCGCGCCCTCCCCTCGCTTACCGACGGCGCGAAAATGGCTGCCGGACCCTGGAAACTTCGCTAAATGGTGAGTTTTGTGCCCATTTGGAACGCATTAAATGATGTTTAATGCGTTCCAATGGGCTTCCCCGTTCCGTTTAGCGAAGTTTTCACATAGCGAAGGTTAATCCGGAACGGATTAACCTCGCTATGCGGGGCACCACTGTATTCTGTTTCAAGAGGAAACCTCCCACCCTCAGGAATGCCCCTGAGTGGATTTGGGGCTGAGCACCTACCTTCCAGGACAGGATATGGCAATGCCTGCAGAGCTGCAAGGTATCTCCATACTGCTCCTTCCTTGGGTAACATCTCACAAGCTTGAAATACATCTTTTTCCAATCCAAATTCCCTTTATCTGACAAAATCAGCCGCTTGCGTATCTGAAAGACAAAAAGACATGCCTGAAGATGTAGGTCTCAAAAATACTTTTAAGATTTAACAAGTATGAGGCACAGCACAATGAAAGTAGAAACCACCAAATCCCTGTCCTCTCAGAGGACTCTATAATCAGAGAAGTTCAAACTCAGGATGTGGAACCAATCAAGCAGAAACATGTAAAGCTCTTAATGAGTGTGAATGTTTTCTAGAGGTGTGTGCTAGATTAAAAATTTGGATATTATTTGCTGAAAACCTACTTACAAAATCATAACTTTTTGTCAAACCAAGTCAGAACTTTAAGCCCGTTCCTCCCTGGTAAACAAAGGATCCTTGCCGAAATTCTTGGGTTGGTGTGTGCATCCTCGTTTGGTGCATGAATCATGGCAGGGGTGTTCTGTTTACCAAGGAGGAATGCTTTGAAAGTTATAACTTGGTTTATGTTATGAACAGGATTTCAGCTATTGTTACATTATAAGCTTAGAAGACTGTATTTTATAAAGCTATAAATAAAGTTAGTTAAAGACATGAGTAAAAGTAGAACCCACGCTAGAAACTAAAAAAAAGGGGTCACATATACTAGAGAAAATAATGCAGGAAGCTGGAACTTTTCATGCCCCCCACCTCCCAGTCTGGGCTTTCTAAAAACTGGATGGACTATGAGGCAAGTCTCCTCTGAAACTGAACAGAGGCGATACATATGTTTCTGCACTGAGTCCCTGAGAGAGGACAAAGAACGGTCCCAACTGTACTTGGTGGACAGCAGGTGTCCTACCTTCTGACCATCACGTAAATTTCACAGAGTCACGGGATAATCTGAATAGTGAAACTGAACAGGATGTAGGCCTGAATCTCAGCGAGTCCTTTGCTTCCCGAGTCCCCTTCCTGTTGCCTATTACCTGTCTGTCTGTGAAGTGATAATGGCAGAGCTTCTTCCACAGCAACCGGTCCTCACTGAGCACCTGAAGGCTGGGAGCCACCTGTCCAAGGCTCACCAGATCTCGTCCGTCTGTCAGGCGTTGCATGATGTTCAGTTGTAAACATAAAGGCAGGTCTGTGAAAGTCATCCCTTTAAAGGCAGGCTGGAAGTAAAGAGAAAACAAAAGTGAGGCTGCACAACAACAACAAACTCATTGGCACCCTGCACCACAAACATCAGAAACCACCTTGAACTCTGAACACACTAACAAATATTCTTGGAACACATCCCCTCTATAAGGAAGCTTACAGAAGTCACCCTCAACTCCTCAGGAGAAAGATGGAATAAAAACAACACATCCCCTCTATAAGGAAGCTTACAGACGTCACCCTCAACACCTCAGGAGAAAGATGGAATAAAAACGTTAGATTAATAATGTAGTTAAGTTCTTTGTTCATTTTGTGTGTGTGTGTGTGTGTGTAGTCATATTACAGCTATATATATATCCTCTATTAGAGATGGGGATGTTCATATTCATATACAAATACGAGTCTCTCTACCACAGCCAGACTTAACGAGGGTCTTTCATATTCATATACAAATACGAGTCTCTCTGCCACAGCTGGACTTAACAAGGGTCTGGCCCCCAGGACCGGATCCTCATGTGGGTGCTGGTCCCACTCATCCTGCCAATGGCACCTGCAGCTCTGCACTCTTCCCACTTGGCTGGCCATTCAGCGGCCATGCAGAGAGACTCGTTCTCTGGGCAGCCATGCAGGGAGACTCGTCCACTCCGGAAGAGAGTAGAGCTGCGGGCTCCCACTGGCAGGACGAGCGGGACTGGCGTGGTGGCCAGATCGTCCTTAGGTCCAGCTGCATTGGAGATACATATATGAATATCTCCACCTCTAACCTCTATATCAGAAGTCCCCAACCCCTGGTCTGTGGCCTCATGCCAGTTAGTGGCCTGAGCCGGACCGGGCCACAGAGAGAGACAGCCCACCCCAACACGCACTCCCCCCCAGCCCGTTTGCGCCTGCGTGTACCCCTACAAGTACTGTGCCGCTCTTTGCGCATGAGCGCGCGGGGGGGGTAAACCACCTTCCCCAGCTGGTCTGTGGGGCTAAAAATGTTGGGGACCGCTGCTCTATATAACAAAACAGTAATAAAATTATTGTAATCAAAGTTGATACTTGCTTTTAAAAAGTTATTTAAATAATTCCCTTATCTCTTCTTGAGCAAATTTCCAAAGCAAGCTTGGTGCTCTATCTGTCTATAGATAGGCGAATGGCTAGAGAAACTGACGGAACACCAAGCCTGTCTTGAAAATTTGCTCAAGAAGAGACATGGAAATAATTTAAATAACCGATTTAAAAATAAGCATCAAGCCTTAATAAGAATAATTTTACTACCATTTTGTTATATTTGTGGGGGAGATTTTTCGTTAAATGACAAACTGCCAAGAGTCTATTTCCTACTCAATATATTTGTGAAGGCTTTCCCGGCCAGGATCTAATGGTTGTTGTGGGTTTTTTGGGCTCTTTGGCCGTATTCTGAAGGTTGTTCTTCCTACTCAATACTTACACCAGACCCCTTGGCTGTCTAATTTGAAGCCAAGTTAAAATTTGGTTCTTCACAACAGGTTTTGGGCCTCAATGACCAGGACTTGGTTTGGACCTATTGAGATTTGGATTGCTGTATTAATCATGCTGAATTGTTTTCAACCTGTTTTTCAACTGTTTTATTGTCTGAGGTAGAGGTAGTTTGCCAAATAAATACTCTTTCTTGCAGATATGTGAATTCTACCTATGGAGGAGTCTATTAATACTAGTGCTAATGCATTTGAAAAAGTACAGTGGTGCCTCGCATAACGATTTTAATTGGTTCCCAAAAAAAAAACACGTTATGTGAAACATCGTTATGTGAAACACCATTTCCCACAGGAATGCATTGGAAACCGGTTAATCCGTTCCAATAGGCACGGATTGCCGTCCTTAAGCGAAAAAACCCATAGGAAACATCGTTAAATGATACAATGTTTCCTCCATTGGAATGTATTGAAGCTGACTCAATGCATTTCAACGGCTTTGCGAAGTCAATTTTTGCAAATTTAAGTGTGTCATAAAAGGGTCAAAAATGGTTTGAAATTCCTATGGGCGATTTTCGCTTAGCGAAGTTTGGGACCATGCTTCGCATAACGAATGCGATTTTAGGTCCCCTGCTTCACTTAATGATGTTTCTTTTTTCAATTTAAAAAGTGTCTTAGAAGGGTCAAAAACGGTTCTAAATGCGTGGATTCGTTAGAGGACCCCCTAAGTCGTGTGCAAACCTGATTTGGCTTTGATCTGACTTTTCGTTAATTTTATGGTGAATTTTTTTTCGGCCCATAGGAACCAATGGAGCTGTCAGATTTTGACAGCTCCATTGGTTCCTATGGGCCGAAAAAAAAATTCACCATAAATTAACGAAAAGTCAGATCAAAGCCAAATCAGGTTTGCACACGACTTAGGGGGTCCTCTAACAAATCCACGCATTTAGAACCGTTTTTGACCCTTCTAAGACACTTTTTAAATTGAAAAAAGAAACATCATTAAGTGAAGCAGGGGACCTAAAATCGCATTCATTATGCGAAGCATGGTCCCAAACTTCGCTAAGCGAAAATCGCCCATAGGAAACATCGTTATACAGTGCATATTATTTTCTAAAAAAACACATCGTTATGTGAATTCATCGCTAAACGAGGCACTCGTTAAGCGAGGCACCACTGTATTAAGTCTTCTGAAACCCCATCCACACTCTTAAACAGTGGCGGTGATTATGTGCCGTCAAGTCGGAACCGACTTATAGCAACCTAAAACAGCTTTCGAGGTAAGTGAAATATCTAAGAAGTATTTTTACCAGTTCCACATCCCTAATGAGTCTTCATGACTGAGCAGGGATTAAAGCCCAGATCTCCAGAGTCCTAGAATGTCACTCTATCCACTACACCACACTCAGTGTGTGTTACACATCATATAATGTGCATGTATGTACACACACATACACACGAGAATACATCATACATATTATCATTCTCTGTTTAACAATCCTTTTATACTGATGCTTTGCCTGTTTTATTTTTTACTGCAATATTTGTGATCTGTGATCATTCTACCAAAGACTCTTGCAGACTGTGGGCAGCATACAAGTCAAATGGATAAATAAAATAATAAATAAATCAATTTTACAAATCATCCTTGATTTTGTTTTTTCTAAACCATTTCAAAGGTGCCATTGAGTTCAGACGCAGTTGGGCATTTCAAATAAAGTATACCATAAGATTTGTAGAAACAGCAAATGTGTTAGGTTTCAGACCTGGAAGCCAAAAAGCAGGATTATTGCTTACCCTGGTGATTTGGATATTGTTCAGTTGCTGTTGCCAGTGAAGAATCGTCTCCATCCTGTGCACCCACATGTTAATGTTGCCCACCAGGACGGACTTGCCAACACCTTGGACCAGGGTGCAAAGTGACATGTACAGGGTCTGCAGGAGTTCCCGGATTAGCCTGATGTTCTGCTGGTCCTCCAGAACTTTGTATGGGAAAGTGGAAGAACAAAGTAGAAGTAAATAAATGAAATAAGCAGAAACAAAGAAATACACTTTCCAGTGTCAGCATCAACACAGTGTACACACAATGGAGAGTGCAAAATTGGGCCATTTTTGTCTCCAAGGGTGGCCAAGATGAGCTACAGCTGCTTGGTAAACTGCAGAATCTCCTTCCATCAGATTTCATGATTCAGAAGTGGGGCACACTTGTTGAAGATGCTTTTGATACAGAGATGGGTTCTGATGCAGAACGAAGTTAACAGTTCTTAGGTAACATTGGAGTTAATGGGTCAGAATTTAATTGAAACCAGATGGTTTTATATGGACCAATAGACTACTGATTTCAATAGGATTTTGCCTGCAACAGATGTGCTTGTTTTAGAATTAATGGCTCATTAGACTCCAGAGCAAAATGGTCTGGTGTGCCAACCCTGTTTTCACTGAGGTTGCCAATTTGTGTCTCCACTGTATGCCTTCATGACCGAATGTTTCTCTAACAATACATCCTCTAGCACCTTCCTAGCATCTCATCATCAACCAAGGAAGGAAGGAGTTGTCTTGAATAAGGTCATTGGTATATTTCATATCATTTTTCCTAGTTCAACCCCAAGAACATATGGAATTTGCAAATATGCCCCTCCATGGTTTCAATTGGAATTGTACAGGATCTGTGCACTCTGATCCTCTACGCCTGCTTGCTGAGACATGTCACATGACTTCAGAGGGTCTTGCCTGAAAGCAAGCACAAATAAAATCTGCAGCCATGAAATCAATGGAATTTATTACACAGTAAGCATTCTCAGCACAATCTACCCCTTGTTAGTGCCTAGAACAGAGCCACTGAATCAACAGTCAAAATTCTGTTGTGCAGTTACGCAAAAGGTGCAACTTTTAGCAGCAAATTGTCATAAATTAAGGAACTCCTGTAGGGACTATCTGTTGCATACTCCATCATATAGTTTAGCATGGAACACAAAATTCCTATGGAGAGTTCTTATTTATGGCAATTCACCACTAAATATTATGCCTTTTGCATAACCACACAACAGGATTTTGATCAATTGGACCTATATACCTATTAACATAACAATGCCCATTTGTTCAAAAGGTCTAACTCGAGGTGGGATTAATTGGACTGAACTCTTTAAATCTACCCCATTTTTTCTTATTTCTTATTTGTGTATTTTTACCTTTCTGTACTACTTTTTCCAAGATATTCATGAAGTTCTTCTGGGCGATTCCACTCAGTGACGTTAGCTGGGACTTTGCTATCAGCTCCAACAGCTGTGGATAAAAATATGACATTCAGCCTTTAGCAACACAAAGACACTTTTCTAATCTTAGCCTTCTGGTCATATGGCCCCTTCACGGATTGCTGCCTTGTTGTGGTGAAGGGGCTTGAGTAATTAAGAGAAGCTCTGGGCTATGCCATGTAGGGACACCCAAGATGGACAAGTCATAGTGGAGAGTTGTGACTAAACGCGATCCACCTGGAGCAGGAACTGGCATGCCACTCCAGTGTCTTTGCCAAGAAAACTCCATGGACAGAAACAAAAGGCTAAAAGATATGACACTGGAAGATGGGCCCCTCATGTCCAACATGCTACTGAGGAAGAGCGGAGGACAAGTAGCTCCAGAGCTAATGAAGTGGTTAGGCCAAAGCAGAAAAGACGCTCAGCTGCGGATGCGCCTGGAAATGAAAAGAAAGTCCGATGCTTCAAAGAAAAATACTCCATCGGTACCTGGAATGTAAGATCTATGAACCTTGGTAAGCTGGGTGTGGTCAAACAGGAGAAGGCAAGAATAAACATTGACATCCTGGGTGTCAGTGAACTAAAGTAGACGGGAATGGGTGAATTCAGTTCAGACGATTATCATATCTACTATTGTGGGTCAGAATCCCGTAGAGAAGAAATGGAGTAGCCTTCATAGTCAACAAAAGAATGGGAAAAGCTGTACTGGGATACAATCTCAACAATGATAGAATGACTTCAATAGGAATCCAAGGCAGACCTTTCAACATCACAGTAATCCAAGTTTATACACCAACCACCACTGCTGAAGATGCTAAAATTCACCAATTCTATGAAGAATTACAACACCTTCTAGAACTGACACCAAAGAAAGATGTTCTTGTCATTATAGGGGATTGGAATGCTAAAGTAGGGAGTCAAGAGATAAAAGGAACAACAGGGAAGTTTGGCCTTGGAGTTCAGAACGAAGCAGGACAAAGGCTAATAGAGTTTTGTCAAGAGAATAAGCTGGTCATCACAAACACTCTTTTCCAACAACACA